ATGAAAATAAAAATGAAAAAATGAGATAATTTAAGATTGTAAATGAATATAAGATAAAAAAATATAATAATTAAAATTTTTGTGAATTAATGCTAGGTGGAAGTATGTTAGTGAATTAGTATTTTTCTATGAAAAAATTACTTTCATTGATTTTGTAGTTATTTTCATGCGTTCAACAAGAAAAATCTTGATAGAATGAAAAGAAATGATAAAAAAGTCTTGTATCCCTGTTATCCTTTTCTTCTGTTTAATTTCTAAAAAAAAGTATGTTAACTATTAAAGTCGTATATATAATTTAATGTGATTTATGTGGAAGTATATATATTTATACAAATTATTAATTCAACTAAAAATTTTAAAATCAAATTAACAATGTTTGATAATGAATTAACACAAAGAAGAAATATTTGTAATTAGTCCTTCTTACTATAAGTTACATTAAGCAATTAATCAGGTATATATCAAGTTAGAATCTATCCAAAATAAGATAAATAATGGTAATTCTCAAAAATAAAACTTAATTGATGGAGGGAGAAACATTAGGCCATTTTATACGTTAAAATTAAAATAGGTAACATATGTATTGTTCATTATTATATCTTCCCGTGTAAATTTTTCAATATGTTTAGATATTCCTTAGAGAAATTATTGAAATATCCAGTGGGCCTTGGCCCACACTGATCCCTTTAAGGATCCCCTGCTTATTATTAGCCACCGTCCCCCCTAAAGACCGTTTTGCCTTTTACAGTTAAAAAGAAAAAAGAAAAAAAAAATCTAATTTCTATCTCTTCTCTCTACATTCTCTGTCTTTCCGGCCGTCTCCACTGCCTTGCCGACCTCCGAAAAATTCTGAAAAAATTCCACGACATCGCGAGGTCATGGGCAAGAGCTTCTCGGCACGGTATATTTTTTTTTGCTTTGTAAATGTTTTTTATTTTAATTTTTTAAATTTGATATGGCGGCATGCGGCCGAAGCAGGCCGCCTTGATGGTAGCCGGCCGCCTTTCGCTGTCGTATATGGAACGACCGCTTATTGATCACGGCTGGAAATGGACCGGCCGTCGCCATGCTCGACAGCCGGCCATTATGAAGCCGGCAATTGTCGTCAGCCAGACGCAATGCGGCTGTATATAAGACGACCGCTTACCGATCGCGGCCGGAAATGGACCGGTCGTCACCGTGCTCGACGGCCAGCCAATGGAAAGCCGACAATTGTTGTTGGCCAGACGCAACCTCGCCGGCTACGGCTGCCGACCATTCCCTCTCCGGCCGCCGGCCGGCCATAATTATTATGTTTTTATTATTTTTATTTTATTTTTAATTATTTAAAAATGTTCAAATATTAAAAAAAATATGTTTAAATATTTAAAAAAATAAAATAAAATAAATTTATTATTTAGGTAGTTATTAATAAATATTTTACTTATTAATAAATATGTTAGTTATAATTAATATATTATATATACTAGTTAAATTATAATAATTAGTATTATAATATAAGTTGAAATAGTTGTATAATTTTTTAATTATTTAGTTTGTATAATTATATATTCAAAAAGTGTAATTATATTAATCATGTGGTTACGAATAATTACTAAATTGACTTTTAACATTTTTTAGGAAAATAATTACTTGTAATATATTAAGAAATACTTATAATTAATAATATTAATTTTGATTAGTTTGCGTAAATACTATTAATAAGTATTTAATTGTAATTATCTTATAATAACTAATCAAATATATGCATCTAAAAAGGTTGTTTACTAATTATTATTTTAAATTGTTGATTTAGCATGGTGGACCTGTGCGACGAGCAACTGTTGAAGAGATTGCCGAGTATTATGGTTCTAGACCACGACATACGAGGAGTCGATTTATAGATGCTTTCGTTCGTCGGCAGAGAGGGGAGATGATGCGTCAGGTTAGCAAGCTAAATCTTAATAAGATCGTCATGAACTATAAAGTTAGTCAATTGAATAGTACTTCACTTTGAATTTTCCCTTCTCCTTTAAGGTTTCACAAGCACACATGAATCACAAACAAAATGAGGGTTTCCTTTGGCCAAAATGAGCTTAGTGGTCTCTGGGTACACAAATGTCATAAACCCAAACATTCTTTTCTGCTGATATGAAATCCTTACATCTTGCACAGGTCCAAATATGCTTCAAACCATTAGACTTTATTCT